TTAATTAAATTAAATTTCAACCAGACAGAAATACATAATTATTATTAAATTATTAAATAACTCTCCTCACAAATGACTTCCAGAGTGGGGATGAGAATCTATTATGCCTGAACTAATACAAAAAATGGCGCACAATATATTCGTGGTATACAAATGGTATTTGTTTTCTTATTTCCGAATACCAATTCGTAAAATAAATATAGTTTTCACTGAATCTAAAGCAATTGCATCAATATTTCGTTTCATTAGCAACTTTACAACAGGTATAATAGTAAAATAACTGAATTACGTTCTCACGAATTATATAATCATTTCTTACTTACAAACACAGAAAAACATAAAAATACTGCTATTACTTAACACTTTCCCTTACCACCCTCTCCGAGAACCTTTAAATTAATATCCTACGAAAATTGCCTTCAAAAAATTTTAAATTTCTCGTTCCGTTCCCCACGGACATTGTAACTGACTCTGTTATGAACTCATCCCCTTCAAACACGATACACTTACATAAAACACGATACCTCTCAAAGGCCCTCCAATATGATGAAAAAAAAACTATTTTATACATCAAAAATATTCTAAAAGAATAGACACACACACATGATGAAGTGACACATTTGAGAAAAAGAACCACCTTCTTAAAAACTATCCGCCAAGTCAAATTGAACCTTATAAGCTATGATGTTCAAAGGCAGGGTCTTTAAACCAGCAGCAACAAATAAGGTATATTTTGACATCACAAAGAATATTGAGGACGATATTTGATTGAATTTGATTTGAATTTATTACCGTGCCTTTGACATGCTGTTTGTTGTTAAAAGTATTCAATATATGAGGGGTTTACAAGGAGTATTGATGTGACGGTGGATTTAAGTGAGTTTGGCTTTGATACTGATCTGAAGATGTTTAGAGTCACAAGGCCATTCAAATATTATGTAAAGAAGGAGCACGTAGCTTCACTGACGTTTAAACAGAAAGACTATTATTTATTTTGTATTTGTTGACGTATGAAAAGTACCTACCAAATTATCGTTTAGTTGAAATAAATGCTTTGACTTTGACTCTGACTTTGACAGTGCATTCATACTAACAGTTGCCAGTTATGAAATAGAACTAGATAATAAATAAATACGTACTTATTTAAACTCACACTTGTCCTAGATTGATAGACGTTTTTTACTCTAGATTGGTTGTATTGTCGTGTTGGGTTGTTCTTACATATGCGTACAGAATTGAAATATGTATCAGAGACATTGTAGAACATACTTTTTTTAAAAAGAGTAACGAATGGAGTTTCTTGCTCGTTCTTCTCCATTCGAATCTACTTTTTGGAATGAGCACCTAGCTTCACCTAGTTTCACTGACGGACTGACTGACAGACCATTATTTATTTTGTATTTGTTGACGTTTCAAAAGTACCAAACTATAGTTTAATTGAAATAAATGCTTTGACTTTGACTTTGACTTTGTGATATAACATAACTATTCATCTCACCCAGGTATGAATTATGATCTTCAGCTCCTATATAAGCACCTGCATTCTCGTCTGATTAGCATAACTTCATACCATCATCTTAACAGCTCCAATAAAAGTCACATAAGTTTTTATGAAGAGTACCGTTACCGTGACACGTTAAGAGCTAGGCGTCGAAGTATCGAGTGCCACTAGACGTCCCGAAGGACCTAATAATACGATATTGCCAAAAAATATGATGACAGCATCGAGCGAGACCGCCAAACTGGGAATACCTCGTGAGTTCACGAGTTTCTACTTAAAAGTAAGTGTTTATGGAAAATTGTGGTGTATGGGAGAGGATGTGGATGATTAGATGATAGATACACTGTAGCTAAATGTTGATATATGATCTCTTGTCTCTTGTCCAGAATCTATGTTTCCTGAAGGGTTCCTAAGTGTCTTCAAGGTCCAAGGAAATAGGTTGCTTATGGGCAGACGTGCTCCATTGTAGGCTGCATCATCGCTTACCACCAGGCGAGATAGTGGCCAAACCCTTAAATACAAAAAAAAGGAATTTACAAGTAATCCAAATGCAGCTATCGTCCATGTGAGCTTTAAGGTCGCATTTTAAGTCAAGCCTCTGATAATACAAGAGAAAGACTTTATATTATTTATTTATAACATTCAAGAAGAGCTGAATAATATTTCAGACATAAATGAAAGTTATTTTTATGTTACCAATTCATAACATAACATCACGCCTTTTATCCCCGAAGGGATAGGCAGAGCTGCACATTATGCCGCTTTGTCATTTTCATGTTACCAATTCACTCTTCTAAAATTTGTTACAAAAAGTCCTTAAAACATTTACAAAAATCCCCATCTCACTCATCATCCCCCTTGGCAACACAGGCCCGTAGCAATGATCATTAAAAACATTAAAGGGTGAAAACGCCCACAATACCCTTTTCACAACAAAAAAAAAGTGTTTCAACAACAAAAAACATGTTTCCACCACCCGCCGACAGACGGCGCTACGGAAGACTTTACTACTTCCGGTGACAAGATGGCCGAGCGTTCAGAGCAGCCGGAAACTGCGGCGAGAGAGCCCAAAAACACGATAACACTACCGTTACCAAACGTCACAACTCCAGTCACCCTTCAACCAATAACCAACCTTATCTGTAAAAACTTAAACCTCATTATCCTATGAGTTTCTTCAAATACTTATGACGTTTCAAAGTAAGAAAGGAAAGCAATAAGTAAGAGCGTTGCCGTCAAGTGCGATCGCTTATTTCCCGCATTGAATATGATGTAAGTTTTCCTGAGTGGCGATAACACGTAATGGTATCGTTTGCCCTTTCATAGTACGGAGTAGGCTTTGTTACATCATGGATGTTGGCTGGTGACAAACTGGATATCTGCGTAATGATGCTTTGAATCAAGGTGGTGATGATAAACCGATTTTTGAGAGACTGCTTCTGTTTCCAAGGAATAAACTTCATGTTATGATCATCATCCGAATTCGTATCACTTCTCATCATCAAGCTTTTTTCCATTCTTCGAGCTAAAAGCCAGCAACGCAGTTGTGTCTCCTCTGGTGTTGCGAGTGTCTATGGGAAGTGCTGATTGCTGACCATCAGGTGATCGGTCTTACGATTTTATCATTTGCTAAATCCTGTACATATATGTATTAAGAGTTTACACTTAGTACATACCGAAGCCAACTAGACATGTATCTATTTTAGGTTATTGACTCATTTAAGTCGAAAATTTTTATTTTTTAGTTATTTATTTTGATTTATTTTGCTATGTCTAAAGACTTTTATTTTGACAAATGGAAATGCACTCTACGAGACCTGAAAAAATTGATTGAATATGACGTTGAATTACAGGTACCTTAATTAAAATTTTTTAGATGTCTATTCTGTATAGGGTCGTTTAAAATGTCAGACGGTTCTTCTAACCGGATTGTCATAAACTTATCAATTTACGAGATTACTAAACCCATTCCTGAATACAACTGTGTAGGTGAAAAAGCTGTAGTAATTTTGAGGGACTCTTCCTTATGAGCAGCGTGTGCGGTCGCGGCGATGTCCCGCAGCCTACTGAGTACTAGTTGAGCTTTTCTCAGTATAATTACGTGATTACTCGTAATTTTTAGTAAATTTTGCGTGTCTCACGATAGTGATTATAAAAACAATTATCTGATTGTTTGGAATCAGACAATTATTGGGAAATAATGAACTAAAAAGTACATCAATCCCTTTGATTATCTATCTACATGACTACTTTTTTTCTCCTGCACGTCGAGCCGGAGCCAGGGTTACTCGTTAGGTTCTCCGCGGCGACTACTAAATAATACAAATTGATTCAGTTCAGATCGGCATCCTTAGTCCTTATTCTCTAGACCTCGAAGAACCATCTATACTTTCACGCAGGTCACGAAAGCTCACGATCCAACCCTCTTCGAAGCCGTGCGTCGACTATCTGGAGTCCTCGGTCACTACATGGTGGTTTTCAACCAACTCATTGAGTGCTGCCATCAGAACCTGCAAGTCCAGAAGACGGTGTTCATCGACAATATTATCAAAGCACTTGTTTCTCGGTAACTTAATAATTATTTCGGATGCATTGTATTGACTTTTACTCTACAGATAAATATCTTACCTTTAAATGTGAAATTACAATAATCGGTATTTTATCACATTTATAAGTGTGGTGCTTAAATTTTCATACCGAAAATGTATGACAAGGACACGGATTAAGACTCCGTGGAGAATCAACATGTTACATTAAAAAAGAACTTCCATATCGAGTTATTCCAAAATCTTTATAGATAATGTTTAATTGAATATTTGTAATAGCTTTATATTATGGAAAATGAATAAAAAACCAACGCCTACTATGCTTACTTACAGAGACAGAACTTTCAAAGCATAATATATTTACTTTTAGAATACTTGAACTAAAGGCTGAATTAGAAAAATTAGAAGGCAGTCGTTTCCAATTCATTGGTCATGGGTTGATTGAAGTCCATCACACGGTGTTTGACATCGATATGACCGCGATACCCATGCAGGAGGGCAGACCAGAGCATATACAGGAAGAATTTGATAAAATACTAGCTAGGGTGAAGGAAATGAAAGAATTCGTTGAAGAAGTTGGTAAGATTGAAGAAAGTGATACTAATGATGTAAATTGTAAGGGGATGAATGATATTAAAACAAGATGTAAAGATGTCAGTGACATATTATTGCAATTAAATTTATGAAGAGATGACAAATGATATGGCCTGGCAAACAAGGGTAGTTAGTTTTACGACCAGACGGATCACCTGATGGTAAGCGGTCATCGCTGCCCATTGACACCCGCAACACTAGAGGAGTCACAGAGAGGATTAAAATGGTGGTTAATACTAAATAACATGTAAAAATTAAAACCTAGTAAATAATTGGATATCAATCCCAGAATCGTGTAAGCGTTTGCATTTATATCAATAGCTAGTTTGATGTTAGGGGTTAAGTGATACACCAATTGTTTACGATACAATAAAGCAGATTAGTCATAAAAGAAAAATGTTGCCTATTTTAGAAGAAGAAGAAATTGAAGAGCCTCAGGATACGTTTGCAGAGTTATGGGGAGTAGAAATAAAAGAGGAGGAGCCTGTGTTTAAAGTTAAAGAGGTAGATCTGAGTATACCAGAAGAATTGCGTAAAACAAGAGAATATCTGGCTTTGATACTTGCACATGAGAGGACCAGGTAATGAGGCATGACGCTTATTTTGAATAGTATATTTATGTTGCCTCGTTGGCTGAATAGTTGGAAATGTGACTGCCGCGCAAGAGGTCTCGGGTTCGATTCCCGAGTCGGGCAAAATATAATCGGTTTTTTTTAAATAAATCTCAGTAGTAGCACGAAGTCTGGAATTGTGCCCGGTATATGGCAATAGGCTCACCTCCTATTACATGACACTCATAACATAGTCGGTTTTCTTGTAAAATTATTTTATTTTTATAGGTTTCTAAAAACCGGTAAAGATAAATGATAATTATAAAATTGTACTTAGAGTTGAATTAAGGCAAACACATTCCTTATTGATTAATTTGAATTATTTATAGGCAAGTTATAAAAATGATGAAAAAGAATCGACTTAGAAGAGAGATGTGGGTGAAGGAGCTGACCGGGACTTTACAGCCTCCAGCCAGATACGAGATCAGAGAAAGAAGTTCTCAACTCATTTGTAAAGTATTCAGGTTGATTAACTGATACCTACAACCAATTGAATAAACAAACATATCAACTTTTGCATTTATAACATTAATAGGATACGGTATAATTTCGTAGTCAATAGGCTTGTATAGGGCAAAGATTTTTTGTGCAGAGCCTACTTCAAGTTGAAGCGGCAACGGATTGAAGATTGCAAGAGAGACCAACTATTGGGACTTAATATTTGCGATTCGCCGAATTTAGACACACAAAGAGTAAATGCAGATAAAGTAAGTACATACATCGTAATGAATCTCATATAAAACATTAAATGAGAAGCTAAATAGTTTCAAGGATAATAGGGTAGATGCCTAATTTTTATTTTAATGTCCGTCTGGTTAGATTATTTTAAATCATTAGACACGTATTTTTTATTTTCTTACAGAAACGAATACTTTCGACGGTATATTGATTTGAAATGTCGCGTGACGTCACTTCTATATACATTTTATACGTAAAAATGACGTTTTAGCCCCCACTCCTATACTTTGATTCGTTTTATCCAAGTACTGTTTTATTATATGACAAAATAAAAAAATACGTGTCTAATATTTTTGCATTACCTAACTTAGAGACTATGTAATTAGATTTTTAATTTTCATACCCTGTCATCATCCCAATTATAAAACTACTTCTAACTTAGTGCCTAGACTGCCTCATTGGCCGAATGGTTGCAAGTGCGACTGCTGGGCGAGGTCTCGAGTTCATTTCCCAAGTCGGGTAAAGTACATATTACGGGGTTTTTAAAAAAATACGTTCTTCAGCACGGAGTCTGGAATTGTGCCCGGTATATGGCAATAGGCTCATCCCCTATTACATGGGGCTCATAGCATAAATAGTGAAAAGTGTGCGTTACATTGTACTGTGGCATAAAGTGCCGTAATGTGCACCTCAACCTACCCTTTCGGGATAAAAAGCGTGAAGTTATTTGTTCTAACATAGTATCTAAACAAAGAAAAGTCACGAATTCTAATTCTAGCAATTGCCCTCTATTTCACTAGATGCTTCTTAATCGTTCAAAACTACGAACCATTTATGAGAAAGAGTGGATAAAACATCGTGACAAGATAAAAGAAGATGTGCTTAAATATAGACAAGCAAAAATCTGTGATGAACTAAGGGACCAAATTAGGGAGTGGTTCATTCAATGGTAAAGTGTAAATAATAATCCATTACAAATTACATACCTTAATGGCACTAATGGCAAAGAGATGAAATATAACTTTCGCATGTACAACATTAGTCGGAAGTAGGATGCCATCATAAATATTCGTTTTAATGTTTAGGTTTGATGCAGTTCGTTTTTTCTACGACATACCAAAAGAAGGACCTGTGGCTATCTTCAATGGTAATGTTCCCAGTCCTGAAGACTGGTATGAGGAGAATGAAGCTCAAAAGCTCAAAAATGCTGCTAACAAAAAGAAAAGTCCTCAAGATGTAAGTAAATTGATGAAATTGTGAAACATCATTCAAAGACTATAAGACTACTAAATTTTATGGAATTATAGTACTTATAAACACCACAAATGTACCAGTTTCACAAAATTTTAATCGGAAATATTTTTTTCTTTACAGTTGAAATTCGAGAAACTAGACGCAATAAGGCAAGAAAAGTTACTACAACAAGAAGAATTAATGAAAAAGAAATCTGAAGCACTGCTATTAAAGAAGATGATGAAAAATCCTACGATGCACCCAGGATATAAGTTCCCCGTTTCAAAAACTATGCAAAATCTTAAGGACGTAAATAAACATCCTGACATTCTTTACAAAGAGATCTCTAAGTTACACAACTCCATTTGTTGTTCTTGGAATTTTTTTGGTGGAATTTCATAACATTTGTACCTAGTAATATTTTTAATTTCCATGTGCAGGTTATAGACTACTATCACCAATCATGGGACATATACGATGTATGGGAAACTAACGATGTCAAAGAGAAGTATGTTCATGAAATTGATGTGATTAATGCTATAATGGAAGTGTCACTCGAAGTTATGCCACAAGTTGATGCAGACATGAGGTGAGAAAACTTAACAAGTATCTTGAAAAACAGTATTTTTTTAAGGGGGGAACTTATCGATTATCTTCTCCCGCCTGGATGAGGCGGGAGGGAGTATCAGACTCTTACTGACTAAAAACCACCCCGTTCCTACTCCTGCACTTCGAGCCGGAAGCGGAGCCCCGGTAATCCGTTAAAGTCTCCGCGACATGAAAGACAGTATACGTATATGTTGTAGATATAAGGATACAGAGTATTCAATGCTATCATAAATCTTCGACGGAATGTTGCAATCAGAAATTAAAAAGAAATACAAAACGTAAGAGAAACTTTACGTTTATTTCTATTGATTTTTTTAGGAAAGAACTTAAACAACTGAAGACAGCTTTGAGTGAAGATTATAAAACTCTCGAAAAGGATATACCGAAAGACGTGACAAAGCCAATAAAAAGGGAAAAGCAGAAGAAAAAAACTCGCGTTGAATTGAATAGTAAAATTAATAAAATGATTGAGGTAAGATAGCTTGCAGCAGCACCTACTAAGTAAAACGTACGATCGTAATACTGAACAATAATATTTAAGTAATACTCATCAACTCAGATGTCGATGGTCATTTCATTAGTATCATTTATATTTATGTCTACGGCTTGTACAGGATCTGGCTCTACAAGATTTGATCGTGGAGTATCCTAGAGTTAAATTAGAAGATTTTATTGGAGACCCTAACTTTGGTGGAGAAGATTTGAGGCGAAAAATTGTGTAAGTAACTTTTCCAAAGGCTTTTGACAACCAAAAATCTGTGTGAGTTCTAGTTCTGTGATACGTGTAAATAAAATATTTTGGTACAAAATGTCTACACAAACATTGATCACTAATAAGCAATATTATAATAACAACCAATCTAAAAAAAAAACCGTACAACTAGTAGCAGAAACGAACTCAATGCGAATCAACTTTACAAGTTAAGTCAATATGACTGTACCTCTACATGCAATTAATTTCGCCCATAAATCCTTTTTCATCTACTTCAGACCAACATTTCCATTCAATTTTGAAATCCGAGCGTACTGGTGGGAGAAGTGTCGAGAAGTAAGCCACGGTTTCCACAGGATTCTACTGGTGGGACCTAGAAGTAGTGGCAAAACTATACTTGTTAAGGTCTTAGCTTCTATTAACGGTAAGCGCAATGGTAGTTTAACCTACTTGTTAGATTGAAAACAGAAAATAAATTAATGGAGATGATAAATGATAGTCAAAAAAGGTTTTATAAACATTATACAGTTAAAAGACATGTAAAATGTATTGTTATAATGAAATGAACTATACATCGTGTAGTTGTGTGTGCGAACGAATAACGTACTTCATGTTTATGAAATTTGGTTTCCAGATGCAGTGCTTTTCGACTTAGACCCTCATAAAGTCCAAGGTAATTTGCAAACGGCACCATTCATCAAACGACTGGCTAAAATGGTAGTTGCTTGTACCAAAGTCTTGCAGCCTTGTGTCATCCATTTAAAACATGTACAGAAACTGTTTTATATTAAGGTAATTTTCTAATTTATGATATAGGTAGTGTAGTCATGAGCTTCTTTCAGAGATTAACAGAGGTACATTGCCTCAACCCAATTTCTAAAACCTCAGTCCCCAAATCAGTCAACAACTCACTTTTAAGTACTGTGTTGCGGGTGTTTATTTGCAGCGGCAATTGCTTATCATCAGGTGATTCATTTACTCGTTCGCCGCCATAATTAGCACAAAACACTTACTACTTACTTACTAATTTTCATTCTTTCTTCCTTCGTTCTGTACAGTCACCACCGGAAGACATAGACATGAATTCGGTCCTTATAAAAAAGTACTTTGTTCAGTACTTGATAAAAAATATTCGCAAGACTGACAACGTAACAATAGTAGGTAGGTAATGTGTTTAAATATTTTATATTATATCTTAGTTATAATTCAGCTGCGTCTTTGATGCTCATCAAAAGTGTTGTTTGTTATTAACAAAATTATTGTTTTTTTTTTAATCTTTATTTAATAAGAAGGGTTTTTTTCCTAAGAGGATAACGTCATCCTTATTATAGGGTACAAAATTCAGTATAAAAAATAAAGCAGCTAAACTGTTCTGGGTATTTACTTCAAACCCAATGTCTTCTTACTATCTGTCCAGGTACCTGTACAGAACCATGGTTAGCCAAAAGCAAGGGTTTATTGAAGTGGTTTCCCACAGTACTGCTTCTACCAGACAATACGTACTCTCCAGTCGTGCAGATATTAGAAGATTGGGTGGTCAAGTAAGTACTACCTTCTGTTTACTATATGCAACTCTAAGGAGTAGAAAAACCTATTTAAGATTTATTCTCATTGAAACAACGTTCTCTGATGAACAAAAAGTTTTATAACAGCGATTACGCTCTCCACTAACTACATTATATACTTTATTTCCAATGTTTAGAGACTACTTTTGTATGAACAAATTTAGAAAACAAACATAAAGCTTTATATCTGTAGAGGAGACCCACATTCTGATAGTAATAGAGTATCACTTGACTTAAGGTCCCATGTCCACTTTATGGATCAGAGCAGAGTACACTAACACAGACTTGGTATTGATATTCTTCATCACTTTCAGATATGGAGTAATACCAGCAAACTTCAACGTTACCAACTTGGCTTATATGCTGCGAGGGTATACCTTCGGGTATCTGAAACACGCGCTGGAGAGGTTCATGTCGGGTGACAGAATTATCAAGTCAGTTGGGTTTAGAGCGAAAGTCAGTCTGTAGTAACTCTTACGGATTTGTCATTAAGAATCACATACATTATTGTTTCCTGTGAAAATATTAATATTAATTGTAATAATTCCCAATTTTATTAATTTCAGAATAGCCGCTTATGGACTTACTCCCATGGAAGTCTATGATTATATTTTAAACGATGAAAATGCTGAAGAAGCCGTAAGCTGATCATTTCATTAAAATTCAAAACTCATACAAATTAGTTAATGAAGATACATATCTTCTTCGTCTTCTTAAAGTCTTAAATTACATTTTTGTTCAGGAATACGACCAATACCTAAAATGGTACCATGAGAAAACCGCTCCAGGTATGAAAGAGGTGAAGCACTTGCAAGAACAGTTAGATTTTAAGGCTGCATTCGAGAAATACGTTTTAAAGGCTAAAAAGGAGGGTAAACCACACAAAGCACCTGGAAGTGCCAGTACGAGTAACACAGGCACGACTGACTAATTATAGAAAATAAATACTTTGTACAAAATATGATGTTTTAGATGTCAAGTAAAAAGCAGCATTAGCTACGACGTAACCGTCGCAACGCTACACATGCTACGCTTTCGTAGCACTTCTTCGAACCTACTATTAACACTAACTAAGCTTGTATTAGAAAATTGATAGTAAAAATGTTAGTTTTTTTTTCTCATAACGAGTAAAATTTTACTTAAACAAGCTTTAAATATAAAGTATTTATTATTCAGCTTGTATCATGGGTTGAATGTTGTAAAAAATAATCTTCTACCTACTTCAGAACCATAACACATAATAACAAACCGTTTACGCAGCTATAACAAGCACTCCATCCAATCATAGATATCTTCCACATTCACATTCAAATCACCATAAAATCCGCGATAAGTTCACCACACACATTCATAACATAACGCAAAATTAAAAACATCACTAAGCTAGCAATTTAGCGTAAAATAAACACGATTTTTATTCTGCGTTGCAAAGATAAGGGAGGGCGGCAAATAGAGGGCTCGTGTCGATATAGAGGGGCTGATGTTTATCTTAACATAACGTGTTCGAACGAACGCTGACGTCGCGGATTTTATTTCTTTATTGCACAAAAATGCTAACTTTCACTCGGAGGATAGGGTGGCTGTGTGCTTGTGGACTTTGTAGACACATGCTTCAAATACATATTGGAAAAATAAGCTTGTTTGTCGTTGAGGTCATGATATCAACGTTGCGTTGTTGAGCTATACATATGTGTCGATCTTAAGACGATAAAATTAACAAATAGCAAATTAATAGGAACTATTAGTCATTAATAGGAATCATGTAGGTACAAAAATGGATTACATAGGAACAATATAATGAATAAATATTGTTAATGAAGTCAAAATTAAACCTTCCTATTTCCTAAGCCGTTTTTACATACATAATTACATGCCTGCCGGGCCCTGGGGGTAGGCCGACAGTGCAAAGACAATGGGATGCCAATTGCTATGATTTTTACATCTCTTTCGCTTCATCAACAGTCGTCTTTTCACGCATGCTCGTCGGTTGAGGGTATATTTAATTCGGTCCTTCTTTATTATATTGCCAGTCTAGTCGATTTATGTCAGTCTAGGGCGCCCTCTGCCCATCGCCCCCACACCTTTCTCTGATAGATAACACTACAAAAGCTAACAATTTTTTGCAGGGAGTATTGGGTCTTAGAAAAAATACCTTCAGAAAACATCCCGTGGTCACTCTACAGTCCACCCTTTTAATATTCGAGCGGTGTATTTGGAATTAATTTCAGTCGTTTAAATATTTTCTGGGGCGAGCACATTGCCCAGTAATTATTGTTTGAATATCACTTCTACTTAGATACTGTTTGCTCTCACATTTTTCGCCTACTTTTATACTCAGTTTCAATTAATTCTCTTGTGCAAATTAGTGAGTCCTATCACTTTTTTTTTGATGAGGTAAATCATCCAATGTCTTCTCCCGCCTTGGGTTAGGCGAGAGGGAGTGTCAGACTCTTACTGACTAAAAACCACCCTGTCCTACTGCTGCTCATCGAGCCGGAGCCCCGGCAACCAGTTAGGCCGGCCGTTTGGTCGGGGGGCTACCCTTGCTTACCGTCTGGCGCTTACGGTGGCCGGAGATAGTCGCGCGATCCCCGATGCCTGCAGTGTCTCCGAGGTTCGTTCGCTCACGCGCCCCGCCTTCTCTTCGGACTGCAAAAGCACTTGGAACTAAAAAAATATTTACCAAAAATGGGTACTTCGTCTTGTTTATAAATATAAAGCACTTATATACAAAAAAAAAATTGTTTATTGGCATACACAAGTTAGATTACATGTAGGCATGGAGGCGAACAGCATTCACATAAATGCTAATACGGCAGAGGTTCCCGTGGGCCGCAAACTAGGCACAGCCTGTGTCTTGGTGGCCCAGTGGTAAAGGTTTAGACTAGTTAGTTCCCGCAGCGGCAGTAGCGCGGTAGTAGCGCGACGGTCGCCGCGTCGCGGAATGCTGCTCATCGATATGAGCCTCTAGCATGGAGTGAAACTAGTCGAGTTCCTCGCCAACCAGTGACGTGACTAAGCCGAAATATAATAATGAAAACTTCACAAACTTTCGCATTTATGATATTAGTAGGATAGGATTTATTTATTCAATTAAACGGCTTCATCGGTTGAGTATAATTAAAATCACCAATTATGAATTCATCAAAATTTTATTCCATTAAGTAGCAGTAAGTTAAGTTAAATAGTCAATCACAATTATCAGTCTTTTTAGTTTCTAACAATATATTTTCAAAGTCTTTATCATAAAAGTTTACAATATTAACACCATCATTTTACATTTGACAATTTAAACATAATACAATTATACAAATTGTTAACTACAAGCAATATGAGTTACGTATTAATATTGAACCATAAGAATAGCAATATATAGCTCAGCTCATTTTTAAAAACCGCGTACTTATTGACTTAGCAGCCTCGCGAGGCGGCTCGGTCACTTGACGGCTGAAGTTGATCAAACTAAAATCAAAATTTGGTTATTTTAAGAGCTCGTACACAAAACTGCGATGCGACGTCGTATCACAAAATGTGTGAGCTCCGTCTACGCACCGCAAGAACTTGCGAATTGATTCGTATCGCGCATCAAAATCTTATCTTCCCAAAAACTACTTTGTTTCTTTTTCCTAAGCAATAACAGTAGTGCCATCCATGCCATCCATGGGTTGTAAAAAGAAGTGACATGTCACGACCTACTTTTCAATTTAAAATACGTTTAGTAAGGTTGACGGTCGTCGAAGGAATGGTCACCCTGGAATACAGACTGCCTTGTCGCACGAAATTGCATCGCAGCAATTCGCATCGTAATTTTTTGCGATTCGTGTCGCATCGCAGTTTTGTGTATGAACCCTAATACCAAATATTGGACGGATTAAAAAGTATCACATAATTATTCATCCAAAGTTTAATATATATAACATTACTTTTTAACATACTAACTAAGTAACATACACCACAGATGGTCTGTGTGTCACGGAGAATACAATACAAATGAATTTGTGTATTACTATTAAAATACCAACAGCGCAATTAATGGTACATACAACAAATGACAAAAAAATATTTGATACTCAAAAGCTTTATAAGATTGTTATCTGCAACTATTTAAACACATTTTAATATTTCAGCTGCAAGCATGGATAACATGTTCTTAATTATGTAATATTTTTTATAATAATGTTTATATCAATTACTTACAGCACATTCGTATGTGAAGTGTTTAGACAATAATATTGATATTGGTATCAATCTTAAAAGCTTTTGATTACAAACTTTTATATATGAGACAACTTATTACAAAATCATAAGGCTAAGGACTCACGGCGTGATTTTCTCCCGCACCCACTACGGTGGAAATGTAGGCGGAATTTTGAAAACTTTCGAGACCGTTGTTGCGATTATCACCCGCAAACTTGGCGGTTGATTATCGTAAAACGGGCGGGCGGTTAAGCAACCAGTACAACCTCCCCTTCCCCAATCTCCTATCCGAAATCCTCTTTCTAATCCCCAAAAAGCCGGTAACGCACTTGTAATGCCTTTGGTATTCCAGGTGTGATGGGCGACGCCAATTGCTTACCATGAGGTGATTTGTCTGCTCGTTTACCGGCTTATGCCATAAAAAAACCGCGCCATAATTCCTTAGCTTTAGACTTTTATTAAAACAAATTTTATTGGCTCACGTTAAAATGGCAGACAGTTAAATGCAAAGCCGGCGCCAGATTATAGTACACTGTCGCGAGACAGGCGTGCTCAACTGCCTATAGTGACAGCAACGCCAAAAAATAAGGGGCACCTATAAGGTGTTTGCGCGCTAGGACGCAGTCTAGGTGTTAAACACCATGGAGGGAGGAGAATCAAGCAACCAATGGTAGCGAAGGATGCCTATGTCCAGCAATAGATGGGATGTCTTCTACCTGATGATGGTGACATAATCTGAGTAGTAGAGTCAACGAACTAATACATTCTAATACTCCCTGAGCATCCTGCACTGCGGGTTACATTTCCCGAAGCGATGTGGTGGCCGGGCGGTGGCCAGCCGGTCCACGTCGAGGTGCGCGAGGTGAGGGCGGACGGCCCGCAGCGCGCCCAGGTCGGAGTGGCGCAGCGCGCCCGCCGTCACGTACCCGAGCAGACCGGGGACGTGCTCCGATACCATCTTCTCTCGTTCCTTTGCTACTTCCTCACGCCTGTAGGGAAAGTGGTCATAGTCATTACTCTGAAATGAGGAAACTCTTTCAAAAGTTAGTCATTTATTATTTATTTATTTATTAGGTACACAAAACAGAAACACAGCACAATACACAACAGAGTAACAATACAAAACTGTAAATGGCAGACCATGCTTCCACAAGTATGTGCACACAACATGACATGCAACGACTAGTATTTATTTGTTAACAATTATTTATAATTAATTATAATCCAGAACAAAATTAGAGATAAATTGTAATAATAAAGAGAATTAAGAATGCAATTAGACAATAGATACATTATTCAATATTGTCCTCATTATCGGACCGACCAAATAACAATTTCTTAACAATTTTTTTAAATTTGTGAAGCGAGGTATTGTGGATATCAGGCACGCCCATGTCACTCGAGAGTAGCTCGTTGTACTTGCGACACATCCTTATCACAGGATTGTGAGACGATACATTGTTGTTGCACATTGGCAAAGAGAAAAACATCTCGCGTCTAACAGATCTGGTAGGGATCCTGAGGTGAATCTGCGATAATAAGCTCGTGGCAAGGATCCCATTCATAATTTTAAACAAATATACCAAGTCCTGGTAGGACCGCCTAATTCCCAAGTTCGGCAACCCAAAATGAGCAGAACGCTGTGCATACGTCTGAAGTTCCCTTTTTAAGCCATACCTATGAGACATGAAGCGCACAAAACGGCGTTGAGTCGACTCAATCAGGTCAGTATGTACCTTATATTTAGGATTCCAGACTATTGACGCATACTCAAGTCTGCTAAGCACAAGGGACCTGTATAGGGTGATAGCACTGTTTTGATGTCTAAAATCTTTAGACATGCGACATATGAAACCCATAGTTTTCCTACATTTGCTGGAGATATCCGCACAGTGTACGTTAAAAGAAAGTTTGGAGTCGTAAATGACACCCAGGTCTCGTACTTCCGCTAGACGCTGCAAGATGTGGTCATTTGCGGTGTATTCAAAAGTGATTGGATTTTTTGCACGTGTGAATGTAATAACTGAACATTTATTCACGCTGAGATCCATGCCATTCAGTGCACACCATTCCAGCAAAGTGTTGATATCAGACTGTAACTGGTTACAGTCTGTAACATTGCCAACACGAGAGAAAATTTTCAAATCGTCCGCATATAACAATGAGTGGTTCAAGAGTTTAGGAATCAAGTCGTTAATGTATAATATAAAGAACAGTGGACCGAGGTGAGATCCCTGTGGGACTCCTGAGGGTATAGATACCCTGTCGGAGTTGTAGCTTCCTAGGGTCACAATTTGACTCCGATTCACTATGTACGATTCCAACCACCGCAAAAGGCTACCATGAATCCCCCAACAAGTATCCAACTTACAAAGCAACATTCTGTGATTGACTCGATCAAAGGCCTTCCTAAAGTCAGTATAGACACAGTCTACCTGTACATGATCGTTAAAAGCTTCAGAGATATAGCTCGTATATTCAAGTAGATTGCTGACAGTCGATTTTCCCTTCACAAATCCATGTTGTTCCGGACGTATAAACGGTTGAATATGATAATACAACTGGTCATACACTAGAGACTCAAACACTTTTGCGAAAGTAGATAATATGCTAATTGGTCTATAATTACTGCAGTCAGAAATGTCTCCAGCCTTATGAATTGGGACTATGTGAGCTAGTTTCCACCTTGCAGGAAATACACCCGATGATAGAGAGGTATTAAATATAATGTGAAGGGGTACCACCAGGGCCTTGGCACAGTCTCGAATGAAACAAGGAGGGATAGCGTCAGGGCCTGCACAAATATTTTTAAATTTGTGAAGCGAGGTATTGTGGATATCAGGCACGCCCATGTCACTCGAGAGTAGCTCGTTGTACTTGCGACACATCCTTATCACAGGATTGTGAGACGATACATTGTTGTTGCACATTGGCAAAGAGAAAAACATCTCGCGTCTAACAGATCTGGTAGGGATCCTGAGGTGAATCTGCGATAATAAGCTCGTGGCAAGGATCCCATTCATAATTTTAAACAAATATACCAAGTCCTGGTAGGACCGCCTAATTCCCAAGTTCGGCAACCCAAAATGAGCAGAACGCTGTGCATACGTCTGAAGTTCCCTTTTTAAGCCATACCTATGAGACATGAAGCGCACAAAACGGCGTTGAGTCGACTCAATCAGGTCAGTATGTACCTTATATTTAGGATTCCAGACTATTGACGCATACTCAAGTCTGCTAAGCACAAGGGACCTGTATAGGGTGATAGCACTGTTTTGATGTCTAAAATCTTTAGACATGCGACATATGAAACCCATAGTTTTCCTACATTTGCTGGAGATATCCGCACAGTGTACGTTAAAAGAAAGTTTGGAGTCGTAAATGACACCCAGGTCTCGTACTTCCGCTAGACGCTGCAAGATGTGGTCATTTGCGGTGTATTCAAAAGTGATTGGATTTTTTGCACGTGTGAATGTAATAACTGAACATTTATTCACGCTGAGATCCATGCCATTCAGTGCACACCATTCCAGCAAAGTGTTGATATCAGACTGTAACTGGTTACAGTCTGTAACATTGCCAACACGAGAGAAAATTTTCAAATCGTCCGCATATAACAATGAATGGTTCAAGAGTTTAGGAATCAAGTCGTTAATGTATAATATAAAGAACAGTGGACCGAGGTGAGATCCCTGTGGGACTCCTGAGGGTATAGATACCCTGTCGGAGTTGTAGCTTCCGAGGGTCACAATTTGACTCCGATTCACTATGTACGATTCCAACCACCGCAAAAGGCTACCATGAATCCCCCAACAAGTATCCAACTTACAAAGCAACATTCTGTGATTAACTCGATCAAAGGCCTTCCTAAAGTCAGTATAGACACAGTCTACCTGTACATGATCGTTAAAAGCTTCAGAGATATAGCTCGTATATTCAAGTAGATTGCTGACAGTCGATTTTCCCTTCACAAATCCATGATGTTCCGGACGTATAAACGGTTGAATATGATAATACAACTGGTCATACACTAGAGACTCAAACACTTTTGCGAAAGTAGATAATATACTAATTGGTCTATAATTACTGCAGTCAGAAATGTGTCCATCCTTATGAATTGGGACTATGTGAGCTAGTTTCCACCTTGCAGGAAATACACCCGATGATAGAGGGCCCTGGCACAGTCTCGAATGAAACGTGGAGGGATAGCGTCAGGGCCTGCACCCTTATTCCGATCCAAGTTTATCAACTTCCTGTAAATTTTACTCTCAGTTATCGAGACAGTGGACAGAGTTTGGTTAAAAAGAGGTAAGTCACAAGAAATACTCACCGGGCCAGCGCTCTCCTCCACGAAAACTGATGCAAAGTATTTTGAAAACATGTTACTTATTTCACCTCCGTCACTAACAGTTTCATTCCCTAGCCTCATGGTTTTCGATATTGCGCGGCTATTTCTTTTATGCTTAATGTAAGAGAAAAATAATTTTGTAGTTGTCGCTAGATATGATTCTATACTAGCTATGTAGTTACGGTAGCAATTTTTTATAAGTTTTTTGGATTGTCTACTTATGTATGTACATTTCTGTAACTTTTTGCTAAATAAACTTTATTATTATTTACATATATTTATTTAAAATTCTCTATAAATTACATTTCTAAATACTACTTATAAAATAAAAAATAATATTTAAAAATATAAAAAATAGGAGCCGACCAGTAGCGAGAGCATGGTCATTATTATTATTATTCTCAAAGTTATTTCGATTTTCTTCTCGTACGAGAGTTTGAAGAACCTTATACACGGGCCGGAGCCAAGTGTATGAGGGGAAGTTTAGATAGAATAGGTGGATGATAGAGTAGATGACGTTAAGAACTTTCTTGTGATGCGGCAAGTATTGAGGATGGTTGCTTTTTGGAGTGTATATATATATATATA